GAGTCGTCACTGGAGTCGTTGTATTTGGTGTCTATCTTTAGTCAATGGTTGTTTTTTTTTGATTTTCGTTTTACTTCCGTTGTTCTTTTGAGGAGTGTTATTTGTTTATATTAGTTACTTTAGAAGCGTCGGTTCTTTTCTGTTCTTAGACGTTGAGTTTTGGGTTTTAGAAATTAGAATAAGATCCGTGAGTGTGTTAGGGTTAGAGTTTAGAGTATTTCAATCTCAAAATGTTTGTTATATAATAAATTTGTAATTCTGACGTTCGTTAATAAATTACCAGCTGTTCCCATAAATTTGGGACTTTTGGTGTGCAATTGATCAAATTATTATGTGGCCGATTCGATAAGTTCTTGATTCAGCACTGATTTGGGGTGTTATTAGTATATAATGGGTTTTAATACATAAGGTTCTGAATAAACGATAAGACTATGCAAAGTTGATTTTTCATTGTATTATTACATAATCGATCGTTACCAAAATCACGAATATCATTTGGCAATTCTTTACTTCTTTACCAGATATTCATGTAAGCATGTGATATGATTTGATTGGTCACGATATATCGCTAGTGCTGTTTGCGATATATAAGTGTATCGCACCCCAGGTGCGAAATAAAAGTGCTACGCAGGGGTGCGATCTCTAGATTAGTCCTTTTTATTGGAAAATTGAAAAATCTAAAAGTCTAGTGAGAGTTCCAGATTTCTGTCAATAACACCGTATTAACGCTAATTAAAAACCTTAATATTAAAATATTGTATCACTTCTCATTGATCTAAATCCATTATCTGAGTACATCGCTATCTCTAATAATATAAAGTATATTTGATGTTACACAAGAAAATATGACTGAATATATACACAAAACAACCTTTTGTAATAATCAAAAGCTTATGCGTGAATTATTATCATTTACAATAAATCGATCAGCCGATTTTGAAAAGCCGAAATTAGCTTAGTAGAATTTTTTTCGTTATTGGCCAGGATCGCTAATCACATCCATCATTATCGATGTTCCATAGCTGTCAGAATCAGTGGTAACAGCCCTTCGATATAATGAATTTTGTTTAACTAGGTTGACATAATATTGTTGTAATGTCTCACTAGTGCAGATCAACTGCCAACCGATGAGTTTTAAGAATTCCAGTTCTAGAGTATTTAGCTCCTGGGTAGATATTCCCCCAACTCTCGCATAATGTGTATTTGTACAATAAGAATCGCACAATGCTTTGGAAGATACTGTGACCGCAGCAATAATGAATCGATGTACGGTCAGTGATGTTATAGTGAACGCGTTATTTTCACATACTCGGTCTATGTACAAAAGAAGTATCAAAAGACAAGACCTTTCCAAAGATGTATATTTTACTATACGACGAAGATAATCAGATACTGTAATGGATGGCGTTGCTCTAGAATGAAAGCGCGTTACGTTGGAAGGTGTTAAAGGAATTTGGTCATTATGTGCAATTAAACGGCATAACATATCAGCTATATCAAGGATTTTCAAAAAGATAATGAATTAATATTAGATAAACGTGGATACAATAATGGTATGGTGAAAACATGTTAAATGAAATAGCAACAAACCGATCATGTGCATCAAATGATTAATGTCAACCAGGTGAAACTGTTCGGGAACTTCAATCACGGATTGAGACAATTGATTCATGCTGCATCACAGCTGCTATATATATATATATTTTGTCCAATAGTGAACACTCGGAAGTATAAAAGTTGTAAAAAAAAAAAAAAGAAAAAGAAAAAAAAGAAAAAAAAAAAATTATATGGTTTTTTTTTTATTTCTGCTTTTCTTATTTATCACGGTCACGTAAAACTTTTGTTCCCAAGAGTAAAGGTTAAAGGATCAACTTCCAATGTTTTAAAATAGCCTGGAGAACCAGTAGAAAAATAGGTTTACTATAATCAACCGAAAAAAGTTTAGTTGAAGCATGAATTTTTAATTCATTCACGCTCTATGTAGCAAAGCAATGATTGGTGGAAATTAAATGTCATACAAGTGGCATAACAGGTTCCAGAGAGAAACACGTTTCTTTTTCGCAAATTTCGTTCGCTTGAATAGTGATAATGTATGTACGTAATTGGTTTTGATAACCGCCAAATCTATATATGGGTAAATTTCATTGCATTCATATTAATATTTCAAAGGAATCTACCGATTTTAATTGTGTCATCAAATTTAAACACTTTAAAAATAGCATTATGATAATTTTTTATTATTGATTCTTCAGATTATACGTATTTGCATTGCAACTTCAAGAACTTTTTGGTTATATAAATTACTATAGAGAAGTTGTAACTTAATAGTTACAAACTTTCAATTGGTTCATTTCCTAAGCGAAGCATAAATGAGATTGGAAAGTTACGATTTAGAGATGTTGGAGAAATTAATTTCACCAATTCAACACCAATTTCACCAATAGTGGTGTAGTTATTTCACCACTAATTTTATTTCACCAGCATCTTTTATTACGATCACGTTTTTATTAAATAATCTCAGTGAATGACTTTAGAAGTCGTAGTAACTAAAAAACGAGAGCAAAATATAATCAATTCTAACGTCTTGAAATAAAATATTTGAAATGTCGTTCATTAATAAATGTTCAAGGTATGAAAACTTCTTCAATAAAATGTTTTATAACTTCTTTTCCCTTTTCTCCGAAACGCTTATTCCTCATAATAATCGATGCATGAGAATTCAAAGAATCAATAATCACAACAAATTTTTCCCACCCCAACATATTCAAATACGTGAAACTTATATTCTGTGCACCACATATTGGAACTCGTGGGAAAAGCGATGATGTAGTAAACTCTGTCATCATAATAGTATTTGTGCTAGGTTCAACTATTTTATTGGAAGGGCTTTGCTTTGTCGGTGATGGAGATATACTATGTGTAAGAATATTTTGGATATTAATTACTGTTTCTGCCGCATCTTCTTCAATATTAGATACAATAACATTAGATCTCGTTGGAGTTGATGTTATGTTCCAATTAGAATCTCTTACTCTTCTTGCCGCCAAAATTTTTGCTACTCTTCTTCTTGATATTAGACCTTGAACTGTTAGTGTGCTTAACACTATTATTATCCATAAGGGTAATAAAATGCCAATCAATAAGCAATATAGAATACTCTTGGTTATATTAGTTATTTTTTGTGTCCAAGGGACTTTGGCAGGAATGGTGACTTGCTTTGATATTGATTTTATAAGAGTTCCAAATTTTTCATTTTTCTCACTAAAAAGAAAACATGAAATTTATTAACATTGTGTCTATCATGTAAATTAGCTATTGGATAAAACATACATGGTTATTTTTTTCAAATCTTCAAATGGATCAACATCAGCTATTGCAGCAGTCCAGAAAGGCACTGTTCTATCATTTCTGGTATTTGCATACAACTTCCTATATTTGAATATAGTAAGAGCTTTGTAGAAAACCTTTTCTATATTGATAATAAGTAAATAAAAATAAGATTATTGATTTTAATATTTGTAACATTAGTAAAATACTAAATTTAAATGCCTACCAGGACTTGACATAACAGAAAGAATTGGCTCATCTCCATCAAATCTATCCTTATAATTTAGTTGTTCTCCTTTATGTTTATCAAATAGTTATTTGAATTTTATATACAAGAATTTAAGAAAAATAAAATAAAATAAAATTATATATATATATAGTATATATATGCTATATACCTGTTTTTGATATGAGATTAGATGATACCCAACCAACTATTTTTACTACAAGTTTATTTTCATCTCGCCGAATGCCTAAATGTGGTGTAGCAATTGTTGTAAAAAACTGCAAATTAGAAACAAAAAAAGAGTTGATGAATTATTGAAATAGTAAATTTAATAATATACAGTATTTAGAAACTTGCTATTTCTACCCCACCCCCTATTTTTGCTAATACCACTCTTTTCAGGCTTCCAACTCTTCTGGCCAAAGTTCAAAGATTATACAAAATTTGATAACGTGACTTATGTAACTAAATTGCCCAATCAAATTTAAATATATGATTAGGTTTACTTGAATCAAAATTTGGTTCAAATTCTGATTAAGTAAACCCAAAGTGGTTTATCTTGAACCAAATACTGGTCCAAATAAACCTGAGGTGGTTTATCTTAACCCAAATTCTGGTTCAAGTGAACCCGAGGTGGTTTGCCTTAAACCAAATTCTGGTTTAAGTGAACCCGAAATAGTTTACCTTGAATCAAATTCTGGCTCAAGTGAATTCATCTTGAACCAAGCTCTGGTTCAAGTGAACCCGAAGTGGTTCATCTTAAACCAGCATTTGGTTTAAGAACCAGAATTTGGTTTATTTCGGTTTACTTGAACCAAATTTTGATTCAAGTAAACCTAATCATATATTTTAAATTTGATTGGGTAATATTGTTACGCAAGTCACGCGAACAACAAATCGAACACCTATATTTGTGTAACATTGTTGCGGGTGAAATAGCAAGTCTCTATATTTATTTAATAATGGGAAATAACATACCGTTGGATCAATTTCGTTGAAAAATCCTTGGTTATAAAGCACGCCAATGGCATATCTTGCTATCAAGCCACCAAGAGAATATCCAACAAATGAAATTTTTGAGATTTTATAAAGATTTTTGTCATTGATATAATTAACCTCATCGTTTATCTATTATTTGTAAAGCGTTTAGTATATTAGTAGTGAAGAGAAAATAAATAATATCTATATCTTTGCATACCTCTTTGACAAGTCTTTCACCACAAATATCAATGCCATCATATGTATAATCTGATGTATTATGTTTAGCATTCAACTAAATAAAAAGAATGTAAATTACAAAATCCAAGGGTGGAGTAAAAGACAATCTTGTACACATACGATGTGAATTTTATCTTTATATTTCGCTATTAATTGATCCATGAGATATTGCATATGACTGGGATTTCCCCAAAGTCTGAATAAGAAATAATATCTTAGTTAACTAATTAATCATAAATAGAGGTCTAATCCGATGAATAGCATATTCGAATATTCAACGAATGTTTGAATATTCGAATATACGATTGTTTCACTGAATTGAATATTCGAATATAAAATTTTTCACCAAATAATTCATTGAATGTTCAATGAATATATACTATCTAATCGACAAATTAAACGAAAGTAGATGAACAAGATAAATCCTTATTAGCTAGAAGTTTCCCTATCGATTTATTATTTTAATGTAGCTTGTAAGTATAAAATTCATTTGTTAGCTTGTGTATTTAAACTCTCAATTATTCAACTTCATAATATTTTCTTGCTGTAATTCATTATTGTTCTGAATCAACAACTCTATTTTTCATTTGAAATTTGCTGATGAAAATTCGGATATTAAAAAGATTGAACAAATGAATATTCGAATACTTATTTTTTGATAGGATCAGACCTCTACGTAATCATAAACCTATGTTTCATAATAATACTCACCCATGAACCAAAACAACAAAGTGCATTTCTTTTTGTGTACTTAAAGCCATTTTTTTTCTATAATATGAAAGAAGCCAGTTCTTCTAACTTTATAAATATTTCCATCTTACGCATTTTATATAATATGTGTGAATCGGGAAATCGGATAGGCCGTTATAGATTTTAAGGTTCCCTCTTGTTAGATCGTCGAAGTTTCATTTACCAAATTTTAAATTGACCAATTAGATTTTTAAAACCTGCTTCCTACCTGTTTAACCCGTTCGAAATATTATTAATTCAAAACGATGTCATTTATCTAGCATATATACTTGCATTAAGTTGATCAACAAAATTATTTACTTTTTTAATTTCGTCTTTTATCTCTTTTATGTCATTGAATGAGTGTCAGAATTACAAATTTTATTTATTAGTTTGTTATATAATTTAAAAACATTTTCCTAATTTGAAATTTCGGTAAATTTGTTTAAGCGATTATATTTTTTTAATAAAAAAAACCAAAATTACATAATCCGAATTACAAATTTTATTTATATTAGTTTGTTATATAATTTAAAAAAGAAAATTTCTAAATCTACACTAGTGTATGAAACACGGGTATTAATTAATTGATTTGCAATCCGTAACATATAAAAATAAAAACCACTTAATATTAGGGTTAGGGTTAGAGGGTATTTTATACTAAAATTTAGCGTAGATTATTTTTTGTTAGAACCCCCAAAGTGGTTTTATAAGCAAAATTTTGAGTTATGACTACACCCGTGTTTCATACACTAGTGTACAAATAGAAATCGTCTTTAAAAACATTTTCCTAATTCACATTATATGATACTTGCCGGAAAAATCCTAAACTATTCTAAAATTTGTTTTTACCCTATTGCAAGCTCTGGCCAAGCTTATTTCAAAAATATAGTATACAATTAACCATTGACATAATAAAATTCTTGGCTGGCATATTCATATCAAAATTACAGAATTATACCAATCAAAAACATTTTTATATAAGTAAGATATTCTAACGAAGCAAAAAATAGCTTTTGTGATAATTTTGTAGTAGTAAAACATTACATTCTCAAAAAGTATTTCAAAATGTATAAATAAGTTACTCAGGCAATTAATCCAATCAACGAATCCTCTTATGAAAATAGCAGCTATGCAGTATTATGCCTACTATATATTTTCTATTATACTATACTAGCACCTAACCCGTCGCGTTGCTCCGGATTTAAAATATAAAAAAATTTGGTTAATTTAAAAACAAAGAAATTATTATAAAATATATATAGTAACTAATTTTAATATACAATTGACCACTGTATACCCCATGATTAAAACCCGGGTATTATTCATCATGAATAAGACCCGTGGTATACCTATATTGATTTACCACTTTTAATATGATATATATATCCCAAATATAGTACCCGGTTCTTCACACAGTATCCACGGGTACTATGTTGTAAGTGGGAATTACAGGAGCGACCGTCGATGTTACACGACTGACTTTTCACCCGGTGTGCAACATATAAAAAAACTATTTTACAA